GCTGAGCCTTCCTCTGCCTCTTTGTCCAATGGGTGAGATTCAGAGTTGTTTATCATTATGTTCCATTATACAAGAATATGAAAGTAACAAGCTCTGAAGTCAAAGTATATATGTGTATAAAGTAGGTAAAAAAAATCAACAAGTACTAATGAGTGTTAAACTGGGAGAAAGTAATAAAAGGTAAAAGAGAGCTGACACAGAATATAAAATCCTCCAGATATCAAATTGAGCGGTTTTAAATAGACAACTGTGTATTTTTACTAATTGCTGTTTTGTGTATGGTCCACCAGGTGGCGACCTAAGAGAGCATCAGACCGACTGTTGCTGCCAGAGGCAGACTCAGAGTGTCCATCTCCACCACAGAAGAAAAGAATTGACCTCAATGGTAAAAGTTTAGGCTTTTTTTTTTTTACTTGTAATTCATGTGCTGAGGGAGATTTTGTTCATTTAGTTAGTGGTTAATTTTATTCTGTTCTAATCAACAGTTTAACTCTCACTCTAATCTGACCACAAATCTGGACACACAGAGCTGAAACTGTCTTGACTCAACACATACTGTGAGAGAGAATATGTATATTCTAATTTTGATTAACAGGCTTTTTAAAGAATAAAGTGGCATATCATGCCTCTGCAGGACCAGAAATCACACTAATAATCTGCGTAGATTCAAGAGGCTTTATTTGCCATTTGTACATGTACAGACACCACAGGTTCGTTTTTTATTTTTAATAAATTTGCAAAGATTTCAAACAAACTTTTTTCACATTGTCATTATGGTGTATTTGTAGGATTTTGAGGACAATAATGAATTTAATCCATTTTGGAATGAGGCACATAACAAAATGTGGAAAAAGTTGAGCACTGTGAATACTTTCTGGATGCACTGTAGGAGTTCTCTATGCACAAGCTCTAGGAGTCTGAGGCACAAGCAAGATAAGGAACAACCAAATAGTAATAGAAAGTTATAAAGCAAACTCTAAAAACACTAACATGTAAACTGTAATACAGCACACTGTAGAGTGAAAAATAAAATACATAACAGTAACAAACACAATATAAAAGAACACTGGACAATGCTGTCCAGTCTGCAGCATCCTAATTCACATTTATTCTTATATTTTCACCTCCAGGTTTTTCTTTGACTCAGAGCATCTCTGTGGAGTCGGTGGACTCTCTGGCTGAGCTGCGAGCTGAGGAGCATGCTGGGAGTTTGAATTCATCCTTACTGGGAGAGAGACCACGGAGAAGAGTCGAGCTCAGAGGGGAGGCTGCTGAGGGCAAGGTACAGGTCAAAGGTCACAGCCAGGCTTTTACTGTCGTCTGCTGTTGCAGCAGCTCTCTGTGGGTTAAAGTAATAGTTCAGCTTGGTGGGAAACAGTTTTTTATTTCAGAGACCGTCGGCGCTTACAGAGCTGAATACAGGCAGTTGTTAGCCTAGCTTAGCATAAAGACTTGAACCAGGGGGTAAGTTGAAACATACTCCTGCCAGCACCTCTGATGAACAGGATTTATGTTCTTGTTTAATCAGTACACAAACACCCTGATGGTCTCTGTTGTTTTAGAGCGACAGACGAGACTCTGCTGAGTCTCCCCTGAAGCAGCAGAAGAACAGCTCGACTCTCTCTGGTTCAGATCAGTCTTCAGAGGACGACTTCTTGGTTCCCTCCACAACCAGAAACAAACCTTCAGCAGGCAAATCTCCCCCCTCAGACATCCACAAACCCTCCTCCTCCTCATCCTCAAGGACGTTGGTCCCCTTACTGAGAACGCCAGACCGGAGGAGGAGTCTGAACAGGACAGTGCAGCTTGCCACCAACACCAACCTGACGGACGTGAGGGAGAAGGAGCGACAGCGGTGGACGGAGTTCAGAGAGAGGAAGCTGTCGAACAGGTCGGCCATCATCCGATCGCAACTGAAGAAACCCAGGCAGAGTCCAGCAGAAGCCAGTGAGTAAGACCTGAACTCATTTTGTAAGACTGGGACCCAGAGACTAAGACCTGGACCTAGTGGTAATGTACAGAGAGCTTTGAAATGTCACAAACCATCACTAATTGAGAGAACCTTACAGAAAATATAAAAGAATATATTAAAAAAGTGAAAAACTAGTAATGAATGTGTTGGAGCTCATTGATCCTTAGTTATTGATTATCTGTAGTACAGGGAGGAGATTCAGTGATCAGCTGAATCATTTGGAGTTTGTTGCAGATTTTTCTGCAAATTTAAATAAACAATTGACATTGATTTAGTTTGTGTCTGGTGCTGCCTTCAGTTGTGCTGTCGAGTGAGGAGGAGGACGGTGATGAGAGTGAAGACAGCGGAGACGGAACGAGGAGGACGTTAGGGAGCAGCAGCCAGTCGGATGAATCCTGTCTGGAAGACCTGGAGAAGGCACAGGTAGGAGACACCTGGGCGAGACAACAACACAGGTCTGCTGGTTTTCCTTTGAGCACCTGAGGTTCTCCACCTGAGAGAAAGACTCGATTTCATTAGTTATTCATGATTAACAAACCACTGATTGTTAACGTGGCTGACTGCCTTTACTGACCTGCCCCCAGGGATTGATGGAAGCTAAATAGCTAGTGTCTGAACATCCTGATGAATTCTCTGTCCTCAGACTGTGAACCGTCGAGGAGCCAAATATGTAGACTTTGTCCTGAGGGAAATATGGTTGAGCCACTGAAATATAAAGGGTTCATAACTTACAGAAGAGATGGGAAACTATGATCCAGGTTGTAATAAACAAGAATTGTTATAGCTTAAGTTTCTTCAGTATAGTGCAGGGGTGTCAAACTGAATTTCATCTCGGGCCACATCCACATTATGGTTGCTCTTAAACAGCTGGCTGTAATTGTATGAATGTATCTACTATTACACTGCATAATTACCTCCTACTCAGCCACCTTACGTCTGTCTGGTATGGCACATCTCCATGCTCGGTACTGAGCTCCTTCAGAAACAGTTGGTACTGATTCAGGCCACGTGCCCGTAGGAAGCCCCCGGTTTTGTGACGTAGTCACGGTGTTGTCTGGTTCCAAAATCTTACCACACAGAGCTTCTCGGTGGGCAGTACGTTGGCCTGTTATCAGGGGAGTGCAACAATTCTGCATGTTCTCTCTCACCAGTCCAACCAAGCCAGCTCTCTCTCCACACACTGCAGTGCGCCAACTTCTCTCAGGGTAATTTCATTTTACTTCTCCACCACAGTGTAGATGTCCCTCCCTTGTCGTTCTGTGCATGGCGACCGCATCCAAAAGCTCCTCACTGACAGGCAAGTCTGCCTTCACACCTCTGAAAAATGGCTAGATGCGCTGTAGCAGTAATGTTGCTACGAAAATGCCAAAAGACTGCACGCTTCTTCAGTCTTCCCGCTAGTTCCCCGAAACATATCTTCATCATACACTGCTTCAAAAATGCACCTTCTTCAGCCACAATAAGACCGGCTTTCAGTGCTGCATCATCACCAGCTTGTTTCCATTAAGCACAAACATATTTTCTTTCCCATCTCCCATTATATAGCCTCCCTCTGCATCGACCTTTCTTTTCTTCAACATGATGGGTCTATTTGTATTTTTTACTAATCCTATCTACTGGCCAGATGCCTTCATCGCACAGGTAATAAAACTGAGATGCATCTTCAGGTCCCGAAAATGACATTTATAATAACACTAAAATAATTTACAATCTCTCGTGGGCCACATAAAATGACAGGACGGGCTCGATCTGGCCCACAGGCCTCGAGTTTGACATCTATGGGGTAGTGAAACCAGCCTGACTTTGACTTATGGTATCTGTGCTAATAACAGGAAACACAGAGCAGATTCCATGTTGAGCAGAGAGTCCGCCAGGTCATTTCTCAAACAAACTGGATCATTGAAATCTCTCTGGCATGCTGCATTGTTATGTTGTGAGCTGTGGGTTTCATTTACTGAGTCCACCTGCAGCTGCTCAGAGGCTCTGGACAGCCTCCATGTGGTGAACTCTGTGACCTGACGTGTCTCTGTCAGGTAGAACTGTCCACAGCATCCACACCACAAAGATGTGGCCCCAGCTTTGATGTGGCTTTAGGTAAAGGTGCGTTAACTCAGATTTCCAACAGTGTCTGATAACTCCAGTGACAGTGGGACAGGACGTGGTGTCTCTCAGCTACACCCCCCTCCATGACCCTGCCTACAGCCCTCCTGTTGTTCTTCCAGCTTCTCCACCCTGTGTTGTCAAAGTACGGTCTGTTAATTAGCCCCGCCTGCCACCTAGCCAAGGTTAGAAGAAGGGTTTTTCCAGCCACCAGTAGTCATGTCAAACAGCCATGGAGGAGCTCTGGGCAGCTAAAAGTCTGAACCAGTGGCTGCCAGAGTGAAGAGGTGGCGTCTTTTGCACAGAGCGAGTGGGACAAATAAAGAGCAACAACCAGGGTTAACATTGGTTTGACATGGAGAGGGTTAAAAGTAGCCAGAAGACTCAGACTGGATTCAGATGTGCCGTTCTTCCTTCTGGATGTGTTCATTGTTTCTGTGAATAATTATATCTTAAACATCAGAAATGACTTGTATGAACACAACAATAACTTGTGCTGATTACAAACATCTGGTGTGAAACTGGTGCTTCTGGCCTGTCTCCAGTTCAGGACTGACCCAGTTTGGGTCTAGGACTCCGTGTGCGGACTCTGTTGCATGTCTGAGGCTAGAGTGAGTCATGCTGTTTGTTTGTGTGTTTGCAGGCCTATAAACAGGAGTCTAAGTAGTTTCAGATCGACACTGAATGCTGCCTTTACCGACGAAACCATGTAAACTAGCTGAGTCTTTATCAGAACAGGTTTTCATGTTGGTGAAAGAAGGAACTGAGCTGAATGTGACCCAGATCTGGCTTATGACTGGAGACGTCAGTTGAGCAGCACCAACTGGGTCTAATTGTCACGTTTGAAGAAGCTCATCATGAGTTAATGAAGTTTTATTGCTTACATGAGGCAGAAAGAGTTTTAGTGGTCCTGGTTTTTATTCATGCTGGAAGAACTGTTGAGTCACTTTTGTTTCTGTCATTGGCAGATTTCTCTGCTTACTCTAGATTACTCAACATGCTGCTTGTTTGCAGAGACGGTACCGCACAGGCTGTCACAGCAGCCAAAAGCCATTACAGCACAACACAGATAATGTGGATTGTTTATGTTCTGTAAGTGATGACATCATTAGTCAGCAGGTACTGCCAGTACCTTTGCTGTTAGTTCAGCTCATGAACAAGCTTTTTCTATTAGAGTTGTGTAGATACTTGTTGGGATGATTTCTGTTTTGCTACAGAAGCATTTTCCTGTTGATTTTGTAAGTAAAATGTTGAGACATGCATGGGGACATTGTAAGAAACAAACACACCACAACTACTAAGTGACTCAACAGAAATTACAGTGTGCAGTAATAACTTTCAGTAGAACCCTATATTACCCTAACCCCAACCCTTCATGCTTATAATCTGGGGAAAAATGTTTGTGATGAGCAGACCTTGGCCTGAACAACAACCACTCTCCTTAAACAGATTTTTATTGTTTATATACTGTCTCAGTTGTTTTAGGATCCTAATTGAGGTGATTTGTATTTTGGCAAGACTGCCGCCTCCACTTTGCAAACACTGCAGTATCACAGAAAAATACTGAAATCTAAAGATGCAGGAGGACATGAACTCTCCTGAGCATGTGTGTCGATGCTTACTGGCATGTTGTCTGACAGGGTCAACAGGTGGGGAAACAGGGTATTTCTTCCAAAGCTGAAGCAGTTGTGGGCAAGCCGCTGCTGCCGCCACAGAGGCCAGTTACGTCGCCTCCATTCCTGCAACTGGAGTTCACCTCGCTTCACGCCGGGCTAACATCTGTTGACGCTAATGGGAAGATGATGGTGAGACACTTTTAACTTGACCCTGCTGTGCACTGCTACAGAGTCACACAGACACACTTCACTGTGCCATGTCAGCTGGTTCACGTAGGTAGAGCCTAGAGTGGAGCAGGAGAGGACCAGGTTAGTAGGGCAGGGAATCCGCCTACACTGGATAGGCAAGACGCCTGGTCTTTTGTTTGTTTGAATTCTGTCATAATATCCTAAAGAGAATATTCTGTGGACACACATTCAGTCCAACACAGGACATGCAGAGGCCTACAGAATAATAAGACAACTAGCAGAAAAAAGCAGCAGCACAAGACACAAACAGTGCTGTGTGTAAAGTGTTGTGTGGATGAATGAATCCTGATGATTCCAGTGACACTTCCTTTGTCTCTTCTCCTGTTCAGATCACTGACAGCAGCATCAGGATTCCCCTGAAAGGTAACACACACACAGATGGTCTTGGTGTGTCTCTGCTGGACCACACTGACGTTAAAGCCCAGATGGCTTTAACACATTCACTGTGTGATCAACTATCTGGGTGTTGTCAGATCGATCACCAGTTCTCTGTGTGATGTCTGGTCAACGTTCACAACAGAACGTGTTTTAGAAACACCTCGAAAACATCATGTTAGAGAATATTGTTCTGGTTCTCTAAATATCAGTCTAGTGGTTCCCTGACCTACTGTATTTATTCTTGAAGTATTATAACGTATCTCAAGACTTTTTCTTTGCAAAAGTGTTTTTCTGTAAAATTTTAATGTTTCTTAAATGTTATTGAATGTTTCAGGATATTAGTATTTTCATTTATCATTTATGACTTCATCCTAACAATACTGAAATATTTGACATATTTCATTGTTGTATTTATTAAATTTACATATTGAAATGCTTTGACTCACTGTTCAAACTACTAACTTTATAATTCATTATAAAGTATGTTTTTTTAAACTTAAGAAAATACTATATATATTAAATATATATATCTTTATATTATAATTTTCCTGAAATATCTTGACGTTATTTGTCCTCTAATAGTCAATGTAGATGTTTGGCTGATGTGTGGTCTGGAGGTGTCAGTTCTCTTGTGTGATTATGTTTGAGACTTTTCACACAAGAAACAACCAACAAACAGTTTTTATTCTGTCTCTGTCTCAGGAGCTGAGGAGGGGGAGGTGACTGTGGTGGCATCCCAGATTCGGGGTTACGGTGTTTGGGATGGGGGCTTGGCTCAGGGCGGGGCTCTGCTGGCCGGTTGGGAAGGTCCTGCCCCCTCACTGCTCTTCCTGTGGGTGACAGATGCTCAGACCAACCTGATGCAGAGGGAACTGTCTGACATTCAGGCCTCGTCTGCTACCTCAGGTAAACTCAGGGTTCAGCGGACATTTACTTCAGCTTTTATAAAGCTTTTCTTTTATTTTCTGTGTGTGAGAAAATGCAGTATTCAGCTTTTGAGGAAAGGCCTACTGACCGAACAGAATGTCCTAACCTCAGCAAACACTTCACTTCTGACTCCTCCAGTTCACTAACACAAACATGTTAAGACCTTGAAAATGTTTCAGTTCGGATCAGAAAGTGCAGCTTTTCCTATGTGTGTTACTTATTAAACTCCAGTGTTAACACATGCACAAAAACACATTGCTGTTTTTGTCCTTCACATACTCACAAATAAACAGAATAAGTAATAACTGGCAAAGTCAGAAAACATCCATGTATTTTCCATCATCACACCATTTCCACACACAGGACACCTAAATAAAATGTTGAGAGGTCTCACTCTGATGCTGTTTCCTGGTGAACCACAAGAGGCATGGTAACTGAACTATAAACCTGTGTGCTTCGGTCTCAGTGTTACAGAGGTCCACTTAAATAAGAAGTCAAATAAAACTGCCCTGAGCACAAAAACAGGTTATATCTGAGCCCTGCACACTTTGCAGAGAGAATTCAGACTGGGCTAATAGGTCCCGAGACTGGTCAAACTGGGCCAGAACACAGCCAGAGACTGGTCAGAATGGATGGGTAGATGCCCACAGACTGGTCTAACTGGAACCAGTTTGTGAAGACCACAGTCTGAATTCTGTTATGCTGTCTTCAGGGCCACCGTGCTCCTTCCTTCTGCTGGTGCTGAAGGAGCAGTTGCAGGAGCTCCAGGTCGCTCTGCTGGCCTCCATCCTGGACATGAAGGAGTACAGGGAGGGCCACTCCTCCCCCTCCTCCATTGGCCTGACCTCCCCTCTGGCCTGGACCGATGGGCTGGTGCTCCTTCATAGCTGTCCTCCTCCTGTGGACCAGCACCTCCTCAGACTGCTGGGACAGTCTACAGTAAGACCCCACTTCCTCTGCCTCCTTGGCCCCTTCTCCTCTCAGCTCCTTACCTCTTCCCCTTGTTGCGCTCAGTCTCCCTTTACCTCCTTTGTTCCTGCCGGCTCCTTCTGCTGGCATCCTTCCCTCCTTCCTTTTTTGTCTCATTCACTCTTGCGAAGTCCTTTGTCTCCTTTTCAGTCTCCTTATCTCCCTTACCCACACTTTCACCTCCTGTGTGTTCCCTGACAGGAGAAGTCCAGTCAGGTGAGACGCAGTCAGAGAAACAAGACGTCTACCTCAGGCTCATCTGGTCTCCAGCAGCTTCCCACCAGGTAAAACCAGTGACACCAGTCTGTCAATAATCAGCTGTACTCGGGGTCTAGTAAAAGGATTTTAAATCATTCCTTGATCTGACCTTGTGTCTGGTGTTCAGGTTGATCCAGTATCCTGCGGCACCCAGTAAAGGCCGGATCACGGTGACGAAGGAGGACCTGGCCTGTCTGGATGCTGGCGAGTTCCTCAACGACGTCATCATCGACTTCTACCTCAAGTCAGTGAAACAGATGAGTTTGTTTTATATGTTCTGTTCCAAGTTTACAGGTGTTGGAAGTTTTTAGGTGTCAGGGATCTTTCAAACATCATCTTGTAATTTAAACACTAACTCCAACAGCCTGTGTTCAGCTCTTCTCTAACCACTATATGCAGCCTCTGCGTCACCACCAGGGGTCAGTGCCCTAATTCTCCTCCTCCTCCTGCAGGTATCTCCTCCTGGAGGGAGTCGGCGGTTCCGTGGCCAAGCGGTCTCACGTCTTCAGCAGTTTTTTTTACAAACAGCTGAGCAGACGGAGAGCGGCCGGAGAGGACAACACTCCCTCTGTCCCGTAAGAGCTTTTATTTTGAAAAATCCTCAAAAGGGAGGAGACAGGCTGATGCAGTTCAGCATAACGTGAACATTTTTCTGCATATATCATTAATGATGCAAAATGTATTTTTAGTTCTTTTTCCTGATGGTAAACATGACTTTTGAACTCAACTTCAGTTTGACAAACCCCAATTCCAATGAAGTTGGGACATTGTGTAAAATGTAAATAAAAACAGAATACATTGACTTGCATATCCTTTTTGACCCATATTTAATTGAAAACACCACAAAGACAAGATATTTAATGTTCAAACTGATAAACTTCTACAATAGCCCCTCTTTCCTTGGGTGTTCCCCAAGGCTCAATTCTGGCACCTATACTTTTCTCACTAAATATGCTACCGTTAGGTTCAATTATCTCTAAGCATAACATACGCTTTCATTTTTATGCTGATGATGTGCAAATTTACTTACCGTTGATGCAGAGTGATGTCAATGACCTAGCCCCCTTGCATTTGCGTGATATTAAACAGTGGCTTGCACAGAACTTCCTTCATTTGAACGAGAGGAAGACTGAATACATTGCTTTTAGCCCGGACTCTACTCACATCATACCCGGCCTAGGAGCTTCAGCCCCTTCATTCACTCAAACTGTGAAAAACCTAGGAGTGTTATGTGATAGCAACCTCACATTTCACAAGCAGATTATTTCTGTGGTCAAAATAAGCTTCTTTCAACTGACGCTCTTAGGAAAGGTGAAGCCCTTTTTATCTTGAGTCGACCTAGAAAAAGCCATTCATGCTTTCATTAGCTCACGACTTGACTACTGCAACACTTTCTACACTGGAATTAGTCAGTCTCTCCTCCGTAGGCTTCAGCCAGTACAGAACGTGGATGCTCGCCTACTGTCAAATACTCCAAAGCATGCTCATATCACCCCTGTCCTTCAGTCTCTTCATTGGCTTCAGGTACAGTTTAGAATTGATTTTAAAATTTTACTGTTCGTGTTCAAGGCCATTAATGGCCTTGCTCCAGCCTATTTGTCTGATCTTTTAACTATTCATATCCCAGTCAGAGCGCTGCGTTCCTCTGAGCATTTGTCTCTAGTTGTCCCGAGGGCAAGGTACAAAAAGTGGGGTTCTTTTGCCGTATATGCCCCCAAGCTCTGGAATACCCTGCCTCCTGAGCTTTGGTCTATAACTTGAGTTAATGGTTTTTAAGTCTAAATTAAAGGCACACCTACTCAGACTGCCTTTCAGCATTTAATTTATAGCAGTGGTGCCATACAGGTGCCTACAGGCTTTCTAATTATATATTCTGTAATTCTTATTTTGTACTTTGACTCATTTTTATTGTACAGGAGTTTTATAGTTGCTTACACACCATGGTTTTAAATTTGTGTAATTTTAACTTTTCCTTTTTATTAGTTTGTCTTAACATGTTCTGCTTTTATTTTTATGTTTTGTTGTGAAGCACTTTGAGCACCCAGGGGACAGGGGTATTTTTACCACTGTGTTACATCACCTTTCCTTATAACAACACTTAATAAGCGTTTGGGAACTGAGGACACTAACTGTTGAAGCTTCGTAGGTGGAATTTTTTCTTATTCTTGCTTGATGTACGACTTCAGTTGCTCAACAGTCCGGGATCTGTGTTGTCATATTTTGCGCTTCATAATGCACCACACATTTTCAATGGGACACAGGTCTGGACTGCAGGCAGGCCAGTCTAATACCCACACTTTTTTAATACGAAGCCACGCTGTTGTAACCTGTCTGGCTCCCACGTGTATTTTATACAGGTAAATTCCTTGCAATTGTACATTGAGAAATGTGGTTCTTAAACTGTTGGACACTTTGCTCACACAGTTGTTCACAAAGTGGTGAACCGTGCCCCGTTCTTGCTTGTGAATGACTGAGTCTTTTGGGATGCTCCTTTTATATACCCAGTCATGACGCTCAGCTGTTTCCAATAAACTTGTTCACCTGTGAAATGTTTCAAACAGGTGGTTTTTGAGCATTCCTCAACTTTCCCAGTCTTTTATTGCCCTAGCTCTTTGGGAACATGTTGCAGACATCAAATTCAAAATGAGTGAATATTTGCAAAAAACAATAAAGTTTATCAGTTTGAACATTAAATATCTTGTCCTTGTGGTGTATTCAATTAAATATGGGTCAAAAAGGATTTGCAAGTCAATGTATTCTGTTTTTATTTACATTTTACACGATGTCCCAACTTCATTGGAATTGGGGTTTGTAAATTGTTAAAGCCCTAAAATGTTTTTAGGCTTTTCATCAACTCAGATACAGAATCGCTCCATCCGACGTCTCCTCTCTGTCTGTTCCTTTGTTTCACAGGGATCGGCACATGAGGCATCAGAGGGTGAAGACATGGACGCGCCATGTCGACATTTTCACCAAAGACTTCCTATTCGTGCCTGTCAATCAAGAGTAAGAACGCCCTGATTTCAGTCCAACACACAAAAATGGCACAAAGGTGGGATAGCAAACAGATACAGTCCTGAGAGCAGTGACATCTGTCATCAGTTTAGTTTCTCAGTCATCTGGTGTGTTTTTATGGCTATAGGGAAGGGGGTCAGTAGCAGGTAGGTGGAGCTGGATATGCTCTGTCTGACCCAGCAGAGAATAAACACCTAGAGCTGAATGAGCTGTCCTCATTCATCCCAGGTTTACAGACGCTGCTCTGCAGATTTGACCTCTGCTGGCACGTTTCAGTAGTATGCTCCTCATCACTGTGTGTACCAGACTGACCAGCTCAGGCTGCTTCTGCTGGATGAGCTCTCGTGGCTTTAACAGATGCTGCTACTCCTTGCTCCTTTACTGTTTCACTGCGTTCCCTGTCTGCTGAAATCTGAAGGACTCAGATCTTTCAAGCCCCAGAAGTACTTTAATTTGTGATGATTGTGTCCCACAGCTTTCAAAGCTGACAGAGAACAGTGATAAAATATGTCCAGTCTTTATGCTGTTCATGCAACATTTTGTTCAAGCTTTCATAATGTTTTCAGTCCAGGATTTGTTAAGATGTTGTGGCTTTTTGTGCCATTTTCATGCAAGTCTCTGTGCAGATTTCATCAGGTTACTGAGCTGTTTTGTTCCCATTTTTATGTAATTGTTCCCCATCTTTGTGCCATTTTCATGTAAGTTTTACACCAGTTTCATACTAATTGGTTTGTGTTTTTTTACCATTTCTTGTGTGTTTTTGTGTAGTTTACAAGCCAGGTCTGTGTGTTATTTATTTTACATTATTTTCTGCCTGTTTGCATCATTTGCTGTTGCATCTATGTCCAGTTTTGTAACATTTTTAATATATTTTGTCCAGGTTTTAGAATAATAATGTGCCATTTTTGTGTAGTTTTTATGCCATTGTTCATGCAGTCTAGTTGTTTTTCTGTCCACATGTTTGTGAAATCCACAAGCTGTTCATGGGCTGCTTTTGGAAAAATTTCAGATTATTCAAGTTGGCTGTAAAAACATTGCAGGTGCTTAAAGAGTTTACTGATAGTGAGATTGTAGTTATTTCCAGTGAGGGTAAAAAGGTGAGTTTCTAGCTTGTACTGTTCTGTAACCAGGCATAGCATTTTGAACCTAAAACCATTTTGGTACTGACAGGTGTGTTTGTAAACCTGAGCATTAAAAGCTGTTACAGATTGGAAGCTGATGTCAGATAAATCTGGTTGATGGTTCTTGTCCTGCTTTTCTGTGCATTTGATCCCTGCCTCCTCTTTGTTTACCATTAGAAGGTGCAAGTAAAGCCACTGTTGTGTTTCAGAGCTCACTGGTACCTGGTGGTGGTTTGTTTCCCGGGACTAGACGAGGTTCAGCGTGAGGACTTTTGGAGTCGAACGGGTGAGCTTTTACCTCTGTGAAACAACTTTGTTACTGAATGGGGTGTTCTTCCTTAGATTACCTTTATTTTTCTTTTCTGGCTCATATTTTAAAGATTTAAACCATCCAGTGCCTTTGTACCAGTTAAAGTTTCTCTAAAGGACCAGTATAACCAGTAAAACGCAGTATTCTTCTGATCAGAAAGTGACTATAGCAAATATTTTAATACTGAAAGGAGCTTCCTGCCTCATTTTACCTTTAATCCAGTAGAACTGTGCTCCAACATGTCTGGTTGAGTCAGATACATCTGTCTTCTTTGTTTAAAATCTTCTACCTTCATCCATCCAAACCGCTTTTTGTTTTGTTTTGATATGTTATATCTGTGGACAATAAGAAATAAGCTCTAAGACTGCTTATAAATCGTAAAGCGGAGATTCCAGGATTTCAAGGCTACAGTGAGTGACGTGCTCCTGCATCAGCTCGGTGTGTCTGGTTCCCTCCACAGTGAGAACATGTTGTTCACAACATCACACAGTCAGGGCTGAGAAACATTTGAATCCCCCACCGTCCTGGTGAATCTTAATTTCTGGTTTTTAACATTAACTGTTGCTGAGTTAAAATCATATGTGCAGAGATTTTCTTCTTGGTGCTGCCGTCTATACAGAGAAACAAGGTCAGACAACTGAAGTAGAGACCAATGAGTGGTGGAATCACCTGTTCACAGTATAGGTCAGGGAGGCCCAGTGGAAACAGCTGTTTAAATAAATACACAGTGCAAATCTTTGTCTTCATTTGTCAGGGTTATTTAATGTTGAGTATGAGAATGCTATCGGGTGCTCGAGTTGTCCATGTTTGTGTGTCTCAGGTGGAGCCGAGCGAGCAGCTGGACCCCGAGCCTTCAGTCTGAGGTCACAGCAGCCACCGGTAAACAGAGCCATAACTTCACACACTCTGGTTTAAATCTGAATGAATGGGCTGAGTTTTAAAAAAAAGCATCTTTCCTCTCTGTTCTGGTCCTCTATCCACAAGAAGCAGGTTTCTCTTTTTAAAAATGAGTGTTTGTGGAGTTTTAGCGATACTCAGTTTGTTGAGGTCGGATCAGCGTCAGAAAAGCCTCATCAAATATTTTACAGTGTCAACCAGTTTGAAATGAAACCGGACAATGAATAAACACCCACACACGTGTTTGGTTTCCACATGAAGTAAAGCATGTTGGTGTGTTTGTTGCTGCAGGAGTGCACCAAGCAGGGCTGTCAGAGGGACACCGTGCTGAAGAGGTGAGGGAGAAGCTTAGCTTTTCTTTTGACATCACTTGCCTCAGGTACTGCGTTCTTAACATGGCGCTTTCTCATCCTTTCCAGGCCGTGCATCTTGGTCATGGACTCGCTGAAGCTATCGTACCACGAGAATGTCTGCAGACTCCTCAGAGAGTGAGTTATCACACGGCAAGGAGTCTGACACACTATTGAAACTGAGTACACCTGTAGATCATTGGAGACAACCAGCAGCACGCTAACACTCCACACATCCAAGTTCTGTGTTGACAAAATTCTCTTAAGTACATTTGAAGGTAAAAGTAAAGTGTGCACGTGTTAGCATGGAGTTTGATTGATATAGCCAACATGCTGTGAACATGTTAACTTCCTAACATTAACATGAAGCCGGATTATCAACAATGTAGTTTTTATTTTGGGCATTTTGATCCCATTTCATAAGAAGTTCTTGATATACAGTATGTTGGTTCATTTTTCTTGGAGAGAAATCGTTGGTGAAGACGAGCTGGAATTTTAACTGTTGTCACCAGTTTTCTTACAGCTTATATCTTCATAAATAAAGTTTAATTCTAGGATAGGAGGATGCACATTTAACTAACTGTTGGTATGTTTTTTGTGCCCACACGTGGATATTTGAGTCGTACCAACAGTTAAACCCCACTGGAGAAAACCTGACAGACAACTAGTTTTTCTTATTGATTAGAAGCAAACAGATTAAAGAGACACTGAAATGAGTTTAAATGCGAGGCTTTCGTCTTGTTGTCTGCAGCTACCTGCAGGTGGAGTGGGAGGTCCGGAGGGCTACTCCTCGCCTCTTTACGCCCGACTCCATGAGGAGCTCGAGCTGCAGAGTCCCGCAGCAGGACAACAGCAGCGACTGTGGGCTGTACCTGCTGCAGTACGTTGAGAGCTTCCTGCAGGTACACGAGCACCGTACACTTTTAACATTTTGAACACAGAGGTCATTCATCACTGAGGCAAAGAAAACCACTGACATTCAGAACCAGAATTAATTGAAAACTAAATGAAGATAAAACATTGTTAAAGTGAAATAAAATAAAGAGTAATAAGCAAAGCTGCACAATCAGAAACACAACTGCAGTGCAGTAATAAGTTGTAGTTTGAAACCAAAGTTCAGGCAAAAGGGAAACTGCCCCTCTCAGTTGAGACTGCTGCTCAGTTTTCCATCTGGTCTTTCCACAAATATTGGAACTAAATGTGGATAAGTGTATGAAATCTGAACATGAGAAACCCGATAACAGCTCCAAAGGATGAAAACTAGGTTCAGCTCTTTCTCAAACCATGGATACCTCCTAGACTGAATCAAGCTCTCTGATTGGCTCCCCAGAACCCTGTCGTGCAGTTCGACCTCCCAGTATGTTTGGACAACTGGTTTTCACGGCAGCAAGTGCGACAGAAGCGCGAGGAGATCCGAAGTTTGGTACTGAGGCTGCACAAGAGTCAGCAACATGACGGAGAAAACTGAGACCAAAACCACTGAGCCGTTAAACCACTGTGCAATAAATTATATAAATTATTTCTACTATGTTAATACGTTTTCACTTAACTGTTAAAGTATAAAAACTTCTTAGAGTATTTAATTTGGCTTTGGTTTTCTGTGCTTGTTAACAGCACCACCACCGGTAATGAAGTGTGTTTTCCTGATTCTTTACTCATTAAAATCTTATTCCTACTACTGTGGAGAAGCTTGGATCTTAGTGAAACAACCCGACTTCAAAAAGGATGCCAGTTTGTGGGGAAAGAATTTCTGAAAGTTGCAATAATAAAAATTTCTTACAATAGCTATGAAATTTTTTTTATCTTCTGCTGCTGGTCCAGACGTGGGCTGCGATGAAACACTAGTCGCTGTGAGATGCAGCGTTAGTGCTCGTTGTGTAAGGCTCTTCTGGCCAGTGAGCTAAACAATTAATCAGTGAGGAGTCGAGGTGTCCTTTGTCTCAGCTGAGGTCAAAGGTCACATTGTCACTATTAGAGTGTGTTTGTTGTTTGGATCCTCTCACAGCTTTAGGTCTTCTCCACCTCCACCCCTGTGCTCTACACCTGTTTGTGCGTGTTTGTAGCTGTGTGCGTGGGCTGGTTTGGCATTCTCGGGTTTTATCCGAGTGCCCCCTGCTGAGGATCAATCAGCTTACAGCTCAGTGACAGGATCAGACTGGAGGGGGCACAAGGCCGAAGGAGATTTTAGATATTTAGAGACAAAGCAACCACCACACCAGTTATTGCACTACACACTATTTTTACCAAATATTTAGCATTTACAGAAAGTACTTTAATAAATGAATGAATAAATTAATTTTAGGCCATCTGCTATACAATATTACACAACAGATGTTCCTATAATACTTTCTTAAGATCAAAGAAGAAGAATACAGAAAGAAAAAGATCCTGACTGCCTCCTGGATGCTGGCTCCAAAATAAACCCAGGAATGTCTGGAGCACAGGAAGGACACTGGTGCCTTTCAGTATAAAGTTTCAGATGCAGCATCAGTGTTTGACCAAACAACTTTTATTGTGTTTCACGTTTTCCTTGTGTTTCTGCTCCTTCCCTTTAATCCTGTTGACCAATAAACAATGCCTGCCGCTGCTTTTCGGGGGGTGGCGGCAGCAAACTGACTGATTAGTTTCTGTTGTGACTCGGAGGAAAACTGAGCTTTTAATGTTGATGTATCTTTCAAGATCTGATCAATGTATGTTTACTGAACAGCTTATTTAATAAGATATAAAGGTAATATGTATGAATGTGGTATAAATATTGTGAACAGTGTCTTGGTGAGCTCATTCATTTAGAGAATATCCTGCAGCTGTTAGAGTTCAGGGCAGAGAAGAGCATGAATAAAAAGACACGCAGTCACACGCTAAAAACTGTTTAATGTGCTAAAGATATGTCTTTTCTGTGAAAACTTAATATTTCATGACAATAACTGGTAACTATGATGATGTGGTGGATATTTATTTCTTTTGATTTACAGATTTAAAATGAGATGTGATCTGGACATTTTACAGATATCTAAGAAGCCCATGGTTCCACTGGAACTTGTTTAAAGTGTCATCACCCTGGTGAATCATGGGAAATTAATCATTTTAGTAGCCATTTCTTAGAGCTGGTCTGAAGTGTGACCTGTGCACAGCCTTTCAGCCTGAATGTTGGTGTTCACTGTAATCAGCCTGTTAGTATGATTCCTTTTAAGCAAACCTGACCTGCTGCTGTGCCGCCGCTCTTGACAGTCATCCACTCCAGCAGCTTAACAAATAGGATTAAAGCAAAGAGAACAAGCCTTTACCAGCAGCAAAGTCCCATCTGCTCACCTGAGAGCAAGCAACGAGCAGCCCAGCCGTGGTTTCTAATTTCCTGACAAATGCCAAGCAAACCAGTGGATGGAGGACTGTGGGAAGGATGCCGCTGATGAGCTGAGGAGGACGGGATAAGAAGCAGCGAGTCCGAGGCTGGAGCTTTGGAGGCAATTTGTCAAGAGATGACTGGAAACTGGGGGAGGCTGCTGCTGTGGGTGGTCGGGGCTGCACTGCTTTCGGGCAGCATCTACCTGGAAGCAGGTTTGTATCAACAGGTACTAATGATTTCACTCAGTGGCGGAGGACATCTTCGCTGAGTGAAGTAAATCAAAGTAGAAGAACAGTGTCATCACCAAACGCACTGAAGTACAAGTACTACTATGGCTTATCAGGTTTGGACCATGTGATCAGTTACTGATCTGAAACTGTGGCGGTTACGGAGGCTATGTGTCCTATTGGTGCAGTGATTAGTCGATTAGTTCAAGTTGAAAATTAATCAGCAAGTACATTATTTTGACTCATTTTTAAGGAAAATCCCCAAATTCACTCTGAATATTTGCCAGTTTTTAGGTGAACTAAGATTCTTGAAGCCATCACATCTGACTTTTTAAACCATGTTCTAAAATTTATAGGTAAAAATTATCAATTGATTATTAATTATGCAGAGCTGTTAGTTGATAGAGAATTATAATCAAATGATTGTTTTAGTCAGTGTCTAAGCAAAACTCCCAAACATTTGTTTGTCTCAGCTTCATAAATGTGATGATTTTATGCTGTGACATGATAGTAAACAAAATATCTTGGACTTTTGTTTTTTTGGTCAGACAGTTTACACTATATCTGGTATTTCTTGGTAATGAAATGATCAATAAAGGTTAGCTGAAGCCTGAGTGCAACTTAATCTTTATATTAAAATAAAAGCTGAAGCCACAAAGTCACTGTAGCTGTAAAATAAAGTGAAAATACTCAGGTACACTTAAAATACTTCAGGATGTCGGTACTTAGCTAGATGTACTTCCTTTTCACTGAGCGTGCCTGTGGTTTTTGGGACACCTTGCAGATGCCACTGGTGACCAGGAGCTGGATTCAGATCAGCTTTGGTACAGGCGACGTGATGCTCTGACTCGCAGAAGAAGGAATGTGTTATTTCCCAGCGGAGTCAGACTGTGCGCTCACGAAACGGTCGACCAGGCTGTCGCCAACCACCTCAACTACTTTCACCTCAGAGGTTGGTGTGTTTCCTTTTTATTTTTTATTTTTAGCAGGTTAGCAGGTCTCTCTCTGTCTTTTCCCCTTTAACGTTTCACTGAGGCTCTGATCCCAGCAGACTTACAGACTTAAACTGCATGTCTGCTGGCACTGAAGTCAGCCGATCCCTCAGAGGTCGGAAGTCACGCTGAGCCAGATGCCCTGCAGACACACCACATTCTTAACAAGTTGGTTCAGCTTTTGAGTTTCTGCTGCTTCAAGGCTTCAATTTGTCATCTCACAGGTTGAAACACTCATAGTGGACATGAGGATCGATATGAATTTACACATCAACCTTGTGAGTTTTTTCTTAAGCAAACGTGGCAGAGTTCGCAATTTTCATTTATAATCAGCTGAGTATTTTTGGGTTTTGTCCGACAGGCCAAGGGACATTTACACAATTACAGGGGTTTGACAATCCTCAGTCCAGATATGCTGGTCAAGGGCTGGCATTATGAGTTTAGCTCTTGGTCCAAGTGCTGCTTTGTATTTCAGGCCTTTTATTGATTTTACTCTCCATGAACAGTGAAGCTTGAAGGTTTATTGTTGGAAGCAGCAGTCTGACACCCGTGTCTCACCTCAAGGGCTGCTTGCTTGGTGGTTGAAGTGAACCTTGTAACCATGATGTACAGAAAGGTCTTTGACTCATTTGAACTGCAGCAAATTTAAATCATCTCTGACATCATGATAAAAACATGAACCATGTACTTTCAGCATTTTTCACATTAAAATGGCCTTCTCTCACCAAACAGCTGACGTTTACCGACACTATGTCCAGACCTGGTCTGGTTCAGCCTTTGTTGCTGTCATAGTTCAACTATAGGTCTCTTAGGAGCCACGTTAGACGAGTGTCAGAGTCTTTTACTGTAATGCACTGTAGGCTTGTTCTTTTTGGGACGGGAGTTCGACAGTATGGAGAGTTTTAATATCAGCAGCATCACATGGGAAAAATCATCTTTAATAACTATGTCAATAAATATGCAATTATGTGTACAGCACAAAAAATGTAATTTAGTGTGTAGTTTCTTTTTAATGTGTTTGTAAACCCATTTGGAGAAAACCGAATTTAAAATGTTTACTGAGGACCTGTCGGCATAACAAGGACATAAAGCTGAATCTTTTATTTCAGGATGACAATTTGAGATTAAATTCAGTGTTTTGCCTCATGCTCAGGTTTCAGACATGTCTGTGGTTGTCTTAGTGTGTCAGGAGACGATGTGGGAGGCCTTTAAGGTCTTCTGGTACCGGCTTCCGGAGCGGGACGTCTACCAGGACTGGGTTGGTCGCTGCATGGACGGCTCAGTCAGCGTCGTGGACATCGGCAGCTTCTTCAGCCAATCACAGGAGCACATCAGCCTCATCAAGAGAGTGAGCGAGAGTTTCCTAGCAGTACACATTCATATCCAGACCATTAGCCACACTGTTGGCTGCTCTTCACCCACCACATTTAAAGCATGTTTGTACTTCTGTTTGTGTAAGTTGTAAAGTTTTGTAACTTTCTTTTCTGACGATGTGTTTCTGTCTTTCAGAGAGTTGCCATGGCTACTGCGATGAACAGGTGGGTGTACGATCATATGACATCTGTTAGTCACATGATGACTGTTTCTTGTTGTGCTCATCGAAGTATCAAAACTGCAAAATTAATGATTAACAGTCATTTAGTGATTGTCATGACTCTGAGCCATGTTTCATCACCTGCTGCAGTGTGCCCGTCACCTCAGGCCCCCCTCCATGCAGGTAGGCCTGCAAACACCGACACACACCCACAGAGCATCAGGAGAAGTTAGAAACACATGTAGATCAGCTGTGCAACAACCTGCCACATGACAGTGTTTGTCTCTCGGCAGCATCTGGGCTGTTTAATGGCACAGGTGTACCTAATAAAGTGCTCAGGAACATGAATGCTGATGTACAACCTGTCCACGTGCCAGGTGGACTCAAACACAAATCGCCTGGTTTTAAAAGATGAGTGTATTGATAAGCTGGTGGATGTGATGGATCCCTGGCTGCTGGGTGCCCACACATCCAGCCTCGTCCCTGTGGAGCCACAGTGAGACAAACTCCACCCTAAAACTGACGAATCCCAGAAACAGGACACCACCAGAACTGCTTTGTTTCTTGCTTTGTGTTTATCATCAGATGCTGTCTGTTGTTGTTTCTCTGTTTAGCATTTTTGCTGTTACAGTTGTGTGTTGTCGCTGTAAAACTGCATGGGCCCAGATGCATTGAAAGCTCTTAAAGGGGAATACCAACTATTTTAAGGCTTCACACATGTTTTTATACATTGTGCACTAAATGGGTCTTGTGTGCGACAAACTTTGTCGACTTTCTGTGTAAGTTTCAGAAGCTGATGAATGCTTGGTAAGATCCTACAATTCACGTTGGCGTTTAATGTTTAGGCCTGTTTGCATTACTGATTAATTAAAAAAAAAAAAGATTTTCCTTGTTTAATTATTTAATGTTAAGACTTGAAGTTTTAGTAAATGATCTAAAGTGATGAACACTAAACTCACTGAATGTTTCTGAGATGGTGGTGTCTGTTCTTGTCTGCCAGCAGCTCTAAACCTGGACAGTCAGTGACAGAGACTCTGCCAGGTAAACACACAGCTGAAGCTCACCCTCTTTAGGGCTGCACCTCATCATGTCGGGCTCAGTCACGACCCCACTGTGGTTGTTTCATCATAGACTGATCTGCTTCTTTTCTCCACAAACTGACTCATAATTCAATTTGTTAGTTTCTGAGCTGGTGTCACCAAATGTCTTGTGTAAACCCTGAAGACTTGATAGGACAACAGATGGGGACACTAGTCATACAAACCTAAATGTCGGCACAGGTGTGGCATGCACTGCAGTGACTGACCTTGGACCCCGGTTGGTGCAATGTAAGGGAGTGCACAAGGCTGATTCCCGATAGTGCTCTGCTCTCAGAATAGATTTGTAAGCCTATTTACAGGCAGCAGGCTGGTCAATGGAGGGTGGCTGAGGACAGGTGTAGACCTGAGCTGCTGCAGCACAACAGTTTGACAGCTTGTTTGGGGACTGTTCATGTCATTAACTGTCTTTTTAGTAGCTACATCCAGTGTCTCAAACACTAGATCTTCACCCAGCCCTGCACCAAAAGAACATGGCAAAGAATTCACATAATGTCCTTTGGCATTCAATTTGATTCCTAAAACAGTGGCCTCAGGGTCTCCAGCATTCTCCAGACCGCTATAAAAACTGTCTCCAAACATGCGTAGCTCTGGCGTTGCATATTTTAGTGTGAAGTCATTATATCCAGCTGTCTTTGGACATTAGGTGAGATGGTCTAGACCCTACAACGGAGGGTGAGTCAGACATCTCATTTATAATAAATAAACATAAAACTCAAGCCCCCCAAACGCCCAAGCATCGACTCACTAAGTTATTAATGTGTGGATTTTATAAAGAGGGTTGCAGTTTGTGTTTCATTAGCTGGGCAGGATAGATTTCCTGTGCTCTGCTCTTGTGCCCACAAAAGGTCTTAAGATGGTTTTATAAAGCCTGAAAGTAAATCCCCACAAGCCCGAAATATTTCTTCTAACTTGCTGCGTTAGTTATAAGTGGTTTTAAAAACACCTGCAGTTGTGTAAATGTTAATGTGGACCTTAAAGTAATTCATCCATCCAATCCTGCATTTTCTGTTGTTTCTCCAGGTCAAGCTAATGTTTAATGAATATTTATTTCATGAGGAATTATTGTTTTTTAGTTCTGGGACATAATTAAATGTGATGTTGTAATAAGAATGAATAATTGTAGTTTATGTCATTCCTATTGGTTTTCACACTCTGTGTGAAAGTTAAGTTTTTTTAATCCAGTTTGAATTGATCAAAACATTTAGATTTGTTACATTATTTCATAAAAAGCATTGTTCTCACTGGTTCCAGCAAACTGTTGCCAACATGTTTGCTGGTAGAACTCTTTAAGAGTTCCTTAAATTTCTTCTAGCTAATAAAAATGTATATATTTAGGACAAAGCTTTCACTTCAGTCCAGCTTCTTCATAAAGCAGCTCCATCTGATAGTGGTCTCACATTTGGGGAATTAGAAAAAGTCAGCTGTAAGAAGTTGTTATAACTGTATGATCCCTTTGCATCATCCTCATTTGTTCATGTATCCTTATTGATTTTACAGGGGAAGATGCCATCGTCATCAGATCAGAGACAATCGCGGCCGATCGAGATGACCTTTTGCCCGGCTATGAAGTTGCTGCAACTGAAGGGTCCATTCAAAAGGCTCCTACAACAGCGTTCACCAATACAGCTGTGAATTCGACTTCTGAGTCTGCTTTGGCTGCCATGCCAGAAAACACAAAAGACGATGCTGACATTGTTACCCACAAGCCCCTCGGTGGGAAACTGGGGGAAGACAGGACTGTCCCATATACAACAGATGTGGAAGCTGTCGATACTGTGGAGAAAGTTGTACCCAATTCAGAGGTGATTCAAGAAGTTACCTCAGAAGACGAAGAGCCACCATCAGAGGTGGTGGCTGAAGAGGTCCTCACAGAAGCTGCTGCTGTGGTTCCTACAAAACCCACCATGACACCCACTACAGAAGCTGCCATAGAAGAGGAATTGGGCCAGGAAACGGCTCCAGAACCAGTTGCTGAGGCTCCGGAGGGTATCCCAGAGACAACTGCCGAAGTCTTTGTGGGCCTAGAGGTTGAAGATCTTCCAGACAATTCTTTGGATATCAGCCACAACATAACACTGAGTGATGAGGTTCCAAAGGGACCCCTAATCACTGAAGCTGTCCTTTTCATAATTGATCCAGGTTCAGAAGAAGAAGCTGTGACTCAGGGTCAAGAATCTGCCTCTGATGTAGAAGCAGAGACCTCTGTTCTGACAACAACAGGTAGAACAGAAGCAGAAGCTAGTGAAGACACTGGTCAGGGCAAAGCACCAGAAGACAAGCTGACTCTTATGGCTGAGGTTACTTCTAATCCTGCGGTAGTGGAGGTACCACAGAATACTACAGCGGTGGGAACAGAGGCAGCAGATGAAACAGCACAGGAGGCCAGATGTGAAGAAGCTACTACTGAAGCTGTAGCAGCAGAGATGGGGGTGAAGGAGACCACAGAAAAGCCAGCAGTTCAAACAGATGTCACTGTGACACAAGTAGAGACAGCAGAAGAAGAGCTACCTGATGAAGCAGAGGGAGCAGCAGCCGCCATGGAGGAGGCAGTAGAAGCTCCAGTAGAGGCCATAACAGGCACAGCAGAAGGGCCAGTAAAGACAGTCGATGTGATTGCAAAAGAACCAGAGGAGGGATCACTTCAGGCTGCAGGAGAACCAGTGGGAGGTGGTGAAGAAGCAACTGAGGCTCCTACAGACTCTGTAGAGAAAGACAAAGGAGATGTAGTGCCAGGACCTGCAGTAGAAACTGTGCCAGAACCTGAAGAGGAAGCTGTAGCCCCTATGGAAGGCGGTGCAGAGAGAGAACCCACAGAAGCAGCACATGACGAGACCAACCCCACAGGAAAACCAGCAGCAGATGTTACAGATGATCTTGTTCCAGAGTCTCATGCTGAAACCTTTTCAGAGTCTGAAGCGATTACTCCATTTGTTGTTGTCATTCCAGAAGACTCCGAGGTAGAAGGAACTTCAGAAATGACCAAAGAGAGCAGTACCCAGAAGCTTGCGCTCTCAAGCGAAGTCCCACATGTTGAGAAAGAACACACCCCAGAGGCTCCGAGTGAAACGTGTGCAGTAGTTGTGACCCCTGCCCATCCAAGGATGACTTCAGAGATGGAAAGCCCTGGAGAGGTCAGCCCTGAGAAAGATGGCACCCTGAGTGAGGACAGCATCCAGGCTGTATTGGCAGAGGTCTCCCCAGAGAGAGATGAGGGTGTTTCTCCAGATGTTACAGCAGAAGATGTGGGAGTCATGATGACAGAGGCTCCAGCTGGAGAAATCACTCCAGACGTTAGTGCAGAGCGTCCCCGAGGCACCGCCACTGAAGAGACCAGCCCTGCTCCCTCTGTGGAAGTCACGACCAAGTACGTAGTGGAGTACAACAATGGCAACTTCCCTGATCTCACAGAGAGGCCTTACAACATGGAGGACACCTTACTTGGAAACAACGGCTTTGAGATAGAGCTCGAGCTGGACAACTCGGTGAGCAAATGTGGATTGCTGGATGTTGTGGGTGTGGACTGACATTATTCAGTCCCAGTGCTGATGCCTTTTCTGTTTCTACATCAGCTCTACATTTGTACGATTTTTTGTATTTCCCTGCACATTCAGATTGGTAACGAGATAGATGACACTTTGCTGCAGCCCCTGAGACCACTGAAGGACCTGGTGGTGGACCTGAGCATCAGGCTGAGAGGAGAGAGCTACACCGACTCTCTGAGAGACCCGGGCAGCTTCCACTACCAGCAGCTGGCCAGACGCTTCACACGCAGGGTGAGCCCACTGTGATGAAGTACAATATTTCACCCTTTAGAAAATAACTTGAAGAAGCTCCAAGTTAAAGTCAGAAACTGATCTTAAATTGTTACCATGGAGCTGAATGACACATGAAGCAGTGTTGCTGTCGTCTTTTGTTTTGCAGAGAAAGATGAGTGTATTGAACTGTGGTCAGTTTCTGTGGCTGCTGGCCACCTCCCCTCCTCCCGCCTTTACGCCCTGCATCACTGCTCCTCTCCTGCTCCTTTCCCTGACTTTCAGTATTAACACATCCATTGACAAGTTGACTTGCTTTGTGGTTTGCAAATGTGCTGACCCAGGAGTTTGGCTCTGCTTTAAAGACCTTGGCCATTTTTTTTTTTTACTCATTACGAATCTTCACACTTTGAGGTCAGTTTCCTCGGCCATGCTGGTGATCAGATGTACAGTATGAGCTGCTCAGGCAGAACCACAGCTGGAAAACCTCCAAGGACTTGCAGCACATGAGCAGTGAGTCACTACGAGCTGGTGGAAAAACAAGCTCTTCCAGGAAACCAGAGTGCCGGGGTATTCCTCTATCTCTGCGAGGTTTTCAGGTTTAGTGACGCGGAAAGCCAGTTTATGGTCTGAACACTGGGGTCACGGTCATTAATGAGGGAAGAGTGAGTGAATAACTGGGCTAACAGAAACAGCAGGAGCTGGGCTGCAGCACAGAAACAGAGGCAAGGCAGTAGAGTGCAGCAGTGGGCCGCTGAGACCTGAACATGTCTGTTCCACTGCAGATGAAAGTTTCTAATCATGTAACACACAGATGTTTATCATTATCAGATTCTAACTGATTCTGCTCTCACAGAATGCACTTAGTTTTAACATGTATGTAATGCTGGTTGGTTGTCAGCCTGTACCACTGTGGTCCACACTGAAATATCTTCACAGTTATGGTCATGCCATGTGGTACGAACATTCATGCTCCCAGAGGACGAAGCCTCCTGACTATGGTGCTCCATCCCTGCAGCAGAGAGCAGAGCAGCTGGGCCAGAGTGTGTAGGTTATACCCTTTGACGACTATAGTGACACATAGAGACCCAGTTCTCCAGGGTGCTGCTCAGATTCTTGACAAAAAGGTTTAATCTTTCACATCCATCACAGTGTTATAGGCAGGTTGGCTGCACGTGTCTATAGACTGCAGGCGTCTGGTGACATCAGTTTTTGCTCATTTGTAAAAGATTTAAAAACTTTCTTCCTGTGGTGACTCAGTGTTGGTAGTGTGGTTAAAGAGCTGCTCCACTCACTAGCTGCTCTCTGTGACTTCCAGATCGAAGACGCCTTGCAGAGGTTACCAGGCTTCAAGAACGTCCACGTTGTTGAATTCAGGTAGAGTTTCCCACAAGTACCCTCCTGATAAGTCACTGTCCTGTGGCTTCAGGTAGCAGAATGAAATATACACTTAGTGTTGATGTGACTCCGCTATGAAAAGTGATGAAATTGAAAAGTGCTTTATGACGTGCGAAACTGAAACTCATCCTGAACTGAGTCTTAATTGATCCAATGCTGCAAAGTTACAATTAAGATGCACAAGTAGAGCAGATGATACCAGGCTGATTGTGGTAGTTTTTGTATATTTATGTGTGTTTTGTTTCTCTTCTCAGGCCACAGAAGGACCTGGAGCGGTAAGCCTGACCTCATTGTGGTCCCTTTCACACACAGTTTATGTCTAAATATTAAGAAAAATCTTGCTGGTGCGATTTTTTTTTTTCATGTTTCCCCCTCAACTAGAGGATTATACGATGGATGTGTTGTTTTTACTGATGACGTCTGAACCTTTGAGGCTTGTTTGAGCCCTGATCTCACTTCAGTTCACAGTCATCCAGAGAGCTCTGAAACAGCAGGTCTAAAGGGTCAGCAGAGCCCAGTAACAACCCGTGACTTTATTGCTGAGTCCACCGTCCCTTTAGTGAGCAAATGGGAAATCAGCTGGTCTTTGAGATGATACGGAACAAAAAGAAAAATGTCAGCCTTGCTCCAAATTTGCAGCTTTTTCCAAAAATGTTTTATTGTGGGTAGATTTTTCTGAGATAAAAAGAAGTCTGATCTCTGGAACCTCTTACTTTGTTAACAAGGCAGTCAGATTGGTTATAGCCCAGAGCTCAGATTAAGCTACTTTAAAACACTTGGCGCCAGATTGTTGCATTTTTTTTTGTCAGAAATCACACTAACTTAGTCAAATCTGAACATATTTTTACATATGTGACATCCATTTCCCGAGTATCTCATCATCTATGATGTCCCTCCAGAACAAACCTCCATAAATCCACTTAAAAACCAGAGCAGAGGCCGCAGGACCTGGCTGTGAACCCTCCTGGTTCCAAGTTTCCTTCAGTTTCATTGTGATCCAGTGACAGTTCTTTGTGTGCATCCATACAGGAGCTGCTTGCTGCTGCTGGTAGTGGGGACACTGACTTTTTACTTTACTGAGCGTCAGAGTCTCGTCAACATGGTTGTTATATTCCCAGAACACTGACACTCTCCTCTGTCCATTCATATACTGGTATTAACTGTGTAGAAAACCTGTGGACACACATAAAAGTCTACATATGAATGAAGATGTCTCCCACACTCCCACAGTCACGTTATTTCAGGTGCTGGTGTCAGAGACCGTCCGGGTCTGGACTGGACATATTTCCAGTGCACAGTCTCCCTTTTCAAAGCCCCTTTCACCTGCTTGTCTCAGTAAATAACGGCTCCGCTGCCACTCTGCCCTAATTTCCTCTTAATGTCCTTAGCAATAGTCAGTCAGCTCTAAAGCAGGATAAGTCACTTGCTGCTCACTGGACACCTGCAGTTGCTGCAGGATTACTGTTAAAGGTTTACGTCAGGCTCCCAGTCCCCCTCCCCTCCACGGCAGGTTGCACCACACAGATAAATTCATTTTGTGAGCTCGAGCAGAGTCAAGTCAGCATGAAGCCTGACGCATTGATCGCAGGAGGAGAGAGACCATATGGTCATAAATGCATCAGGCTGCGGTTGTCATCAACACTCACCTCAAAGTGAAGGATCGAGGTCAGAGGAGACCGGGAGAGACGGCAAACAACAGGCAAGACGAACACATGTTAGGATGATCAGAGGATTCCCAGTATTCCCAGTGCACTCATGCATTTACAGTCAGCACTCAGCTGCTGATTTCCAGCTTAGAGGTTCAAATAAATTAAATCTGGTGGAAAAGTGCCTGTATCCACTGTTTCAGCAGTGTTACACTTTACACTGTGAAACATGACACGCTCGTTAACTTTGTGTAAATAAGTTTTATTCACGTCAAGTTAATGCAACTTGAAATGTCTCGTTTTTAAAATTTAGAACTCAGTCTTTTAACTGGAAGTGATGCAAGCTGAACTTTTACAGTGCCAAACTATTTCTTGGCTGGAACCATTAAGGTTCTGAATCTTTTTCACTGGTTGTCTGGACAGAAAAACCCAAAGCCAGTAAAGCATCAAGAAGAGTAGTATCAGAGTTCAGGTCAGGCTGAGGTGGTGTTAATGATTTTATTTGAATGAAGTAAGAGGTGATTGGCTCAGTTTCTGGCAAAATGACCTGATCATGAATCACCAGACACTGACTGGTCCTCCTGTCTCTCAGGGGTTTGGCAGTGCTGGTTCACTATACCGTCACTCTGGAGGTCGATAGTCGTGGCATCGCCAACAACACGCTGGACTTCATCTCTCTGCAGAACAACCTGGTGGAGAAGAACTATCCCGGAGCGTCTGAGCAGCCCACCATCGTCTACACAATCACTGACCTCCGCAACTACATCACTGAGGCACTGCACAAAGACAGCTTCATGACCAACAGCAGCCTGGAGAGCGGTACGCTGCTGCACAGTGGAGCTCTAACAGTGGTTAAACCAAAGAAAGGGCCAGTCACAAGGCTGGTTCTTACAACTCTGTACATGGATCTCACCTGGCGTATTGTTGTAGGCCTAGTTCATACAGATGGGCTGCTGCTGTGGGTTTGAAATTCAGGCTCTAAACGAGGTCTATTGGTATCACTTTATTCTGCAGGCCCATGATTTACTACAAACTTATTCATAATTTTCCTAAATCTTTTCAGTCTGTCTTTTAAATAATCTTTTTTTAAACACAATTTCATGACTAAGGTGATGAAGGATGTTCACAGTGACTGTAGAAAAGCATTCACGCCAACATCGGCTCTGTTCCACAGCTGACACCTTGTTTCCTTCTGTGAAACCTACGAGTCAACCAGCCGACATGTATGACAACATGGTAAGTCGCTGAAACCCACAGAGCTTCAATCAGGTTTTAAATGCAACACAACACATGGAGCTGGTAGGATAGATCGTCCTCTCAGCTGCAAATGGCAGCAAAACAAATACAAATCATGCAGTTGAACTAAACTGGTATTTGGCATCAGCTGTATTATCAGATTGTTTCTTTATCTTCACTATCAGAATAAAACTGTTGATGAATCTGTTTTCAGGACAACATCCTGGCTGCTGAGAAGCCTCCTGATGCACCAAGCCACGAGGTAGACAGTGACATCTTCCTGAAGAAGGACGACTTCCTGTTCGACCCATTCAACTCATGGAAAGGTCCTCAGAGCGCTGTGGTGAGCGAGAATGATGTCTTCATGTTCGACGAGAGCACAACTCCTCCACTGGCCATTGAATTCCCTGTCGAACTGGAGCCAGTGACACAAGACAGTGAGTACAGTGATGTAAAGTTTTCTATGACCAAACACTTATAAACAGTTAATGTAATTAAGATGATGGCTTTTGCAACTGTGTTAATGAATCCCAGCTGACATTTTACCCACTGCACCCAGTTAAAACTTTGATCTACCAGCTTTTATCACTGGGGTGTGAGGAGGGGGATCCTGGCCGCAAACCTCTCCATGTGTTTTCTGGTTTACAGATAGTAAAAACATTGAAGACGAGGGGTTCATCCTCAGTAAACCTCACGGTCCAGGAGATGATACCCTCGGAGGGGACCATGCAGGCTCTTCTGCTGCAGCCCCCCCTCCTCCAGGGAAACCTCAGACAGACTTTGAGTTCACACTGGATGATGGATCTGGTTCTGGTTTCTCTGGAGATGCCCAGGGAGCAAATCTCTGGTCCTGGCATCTGACTGTGCTGCCTGACGGGACAGACCTTTACAATGAGGGGGATGGCAGCCTGGAGCTGCTGCCACCGCTTGATCTGGAAGAGACTGGGAATGAAGATGAGAATGAGGAGGGTGTTGTTGCTGAGTCACCAACCAGTGTGAAAGACAATGTGGCTTTGATGACAGAAGAATTCACCAGCACTTCATCTTTGGGGACAGCCACAGTTCTTGCTATTGAGGAATCAGAAATGGACAGCGGCATTGAAGAACCTTTTCTGGACCAAGTCCTGGTGACGCCACACAGTAGGACTGACTTAACCATGACCCAAGCACCTGTGTTCTCACCTGAGGGAACCTTAATTGTTGAGCTTTCAATGCAAACAGTTGAAGCATCCAGCATCTATGATGACTACTCTTTAATCGAACTGCATACAATGGCAGCACCAATCACAGACCGTCCTGAACCTGCCGCTTGGATTCGTGAGGCCCCTGTTGTTTCACAACCAACTGATTCAGCAGTCAAGCTTCAAGAAACCACTCAACTCATGGAAGTGACCACTGCAGTACCAGTAGAGCCTCCAGTGGCTACAGCTGCATCTGAATCAGATGTACCTGAGGAGAAAGAAGCTCAAGTCCTTGTCACGCCTGAAGTGCCTGACACTGATAGTTCCACAGCCAAAGGGTTGCACACCTCTGTAGAAGTCAGACCTGGCTTTGATCGAATGACTGAAGAGCCATTAGAACCAGAGGTGCTCACAAAGGAACCCAAACTGGTGGTTGAGATTTTGGAAGAGCAGCACTTTGGCACCACTGATCCTGCAACAGCACCACCAAAACTTGATGTCTTTGATAAAGACCTGGTTGTGGATGAAGTCATGATTGTCACCACCACTGCCGCACTAGTCCTCACTTCATCTGTAAGTTCAGACCACCACAGTGGCATCGTGCTCTCGCCTGAGAGGGACTCACCGTCCACTCGATTGTCAGATTTGGCACCAGAGGATGAGGAGATAGTTCAGCATGAGCACCCAAACCACGAAGATGTTGACAAAGGTCCAGTAAGCACTTTGTCTTCAGCTGTTCTGCCGTCGGTGGTGGTTGTGAATGAAACAGAAAGTTCTTCAGTGGATGCTACAGAGAGGTCACCAGGCACTCCAGCACAACAAGACGTGGGTACCAACTCCACAGGGTCTTCAAATGGGGAAGCAGACACAGGTTTCCTCCAAACAGCTACTTCCTTGCTTCAAGACGTCAAAGATGATACTCACGCTACCAGGCTCCAATCCTTTGAGCGTAATTTTTCTGAGGTGGCAAGTGTTGACATCAGCTTCGATGTATTCAGTGTGGCGACTGAAGGCAACAGCAGCAGCTTCTCCAGCGGGACACAGGGGACAGACCTGGATGCCATTGCACTACCAACCCGACCAGGCAAGGCGCTTACAGTTTTCTTCAGCCTGAGGGTGACCAACATGGCGTTCTCTGTGGACCTCTTTAACAAAAGCTCCCCTGAGTACAAGGCCTTGGAGCAGCGGTTCCTGGAACTGGTAAGCAGTCAGAGTATCTGGACTCGGTAGATAATGAAAACATTCATGGTACTGGTCTTAACAGATGTATTGGTCTTCACTCTGTAGCTGGTGCCATACCTGCAGTCCAACCTAAACAATTTCCAGAACCTGGAAATCCTCAACTTCAGGAACGGCAGCATTGTGGTGAACAGCCGGATGAAATTTGGCAAACCGGTTCCCAGAGGCGTCACCAGCGTTGTCTATCTAATCCTGGAGGACTTTGCCAACACCGCCTATCAGACCATGAACCTGGCCATTGACAAGTACTCACTGGATGTCGAGTCAGGTGTGCTTTCCTTTAAGTTTGACTCTTTTTGAAGGAGAGGAAAGTCTTCTTTCTCATACAAACCAGACAGATGAAATGCTTTCAGGGTGGTTGGCTTGATTATAGTTTAAACATAAACTGAAAAGATGCTTTTTAAATAATTTCCAAAGCATTTGTTTAGCAGAGATTCTCCTTATAGGGCTTGTTTCATGACAAGATTCAAGATGGCTTGAACAAGTAGAAGAAAATACTCATCTGGGTAAATACTTAGTCTCTGAGGCCGGATTTCAGGTGCTTAGATGTTTGTCTTCTATTAGATCTTCTAGTTTTTTGGACTCAGATGCCTCAGCAGCATCTCAGCAGGGTGTCACTCCTGCCAGGACTCTAATCTGATACCGGAGTCTGTCTGAGAGGAACGTGAGTGGCAGTAGATACACGGACCCACTGTCTGCCTCCGCCCATCTGTGCCTGGACACTGTGTCTCTGTAGCTGCACCTGCCGGCAGGTGTGTGAGCTTGTGATTGTATGTTGAAACAGGTAAAGCCGTTTCTGTGAGGAATTTATGGGCTCAAAATCGAAGTGGGTCATAGTGTTTCATTAAAACTGCTGCTGAAGTTGAGATTTCTATGAAGCTCCACGTCAGTAGAAAAGGTGGTAGATTTCACAGTTAATGGCTCTAATGTTTTTCTAGTGACAGCATTAGTTGTTTGTCTCACTGAGTTTTACAGTAACACTGGTGTGCTTGTTTTTGTGACTTGAAACTCAACAAAAGAGAGAGATGCTATAAAACGAAAACACGACTGGGGTGTTTGACTTCACTTATTAGATGTTAAATGTGTATTTAAAAGCTGGTTTTTATGCTAGGACAAAAATGAGAAGGTCTTGTGGTTGGACCTGGACTGTGGCCCAGTGTGTTAGGAGCCAGGCAATCAAATTCATTCACTTTCTGAAAACATCCACAGCTGGCCCGAAGTGTTTTGCCATCACAGTGCTTCTGTATTTTGTTGTATCTTCTCACCAGCAGCTTTATAGAATCGTATCTCACAGTCTGGGTGGAATTAAAACTGCAGAGCCTCCTGTGAATCGTTCAGGTTTGATAAATGCAAGTTGGTCCAGTGTGTTTCCCCCAGTCAGCCCATGTCTGCTGAGCTGCGGCTCTTTAATCTGTCTGAGCCAATTAGAGGAGCTCCTCGTAGCCAGATAACACTAATCCACAGCAGTGAGTCATGGCGGTCAGGACTCACTGGTAATCACACTACAGATATCTTCTTCACTGCACAGTGAAAGAACGTTTTCTACTGAGCAGGCACCGGCTCAACTGTCCAGAGTACCGCACTGCTGGATCTGGATCAGGGCTTAACTAGTCTGTCACTGTGAGGGGCTTTTCAAAAGGCAGTACATGAGGCGTGTTGGTAAAACCCAAGAAAGCTGTTCAGTACTTCAGATTTCAGTTATTGTGTTATCATCTAATGTCACTGCTCTCTAGATACTTCTTCCAAGTTTCAACATACAGAAAAACGAGATAAAAAGTCAGGACCACGAGACTACTCTGACTGATGTACATTTAATATGAAACAGTGACATCTAGCAGAAACACTGGTGTTTGCATCCACTCCACTGGTCAGCTGACCCCTTTCTGCCCGTCTCCTGCTGAGGAGACTGAATCAGCACTGATCAGCTGACCCTCTGCCATGACTCTTCTTTTGACCAGCTGTAACCAAGCATTTCTGTTTGATCGCTCATTAAACAGGCATGTGGCCTGTTGCTTCTTTGCTTATTGTCCCTGAAGCTTAATGTTACATTAACATTACATTTCAGCCCCAGGCCACCAGGGGGAGTCACAGTGAAATGCACTTTGCTTGGTGATGTGGTGGCTGCTGCAGAACTAGTTAACAGATCAATGACTTTCGGGTGAGACAGGCCGACTCCACTATAATCCACTCTGAGAAACCCTGAGCTGTCCACGTGTGGAGAGGAAGCAGGACTTGTCCTGGTCTCTGACACTTCTTCTCTTGTTTATTTGTTGTCATTTCCTGTCAGGTGACAGAGCAGATCCATGTAAGTTCCAGGCATGTAACGAGTTCTCCAGGTGTATGGTGAATCAGTGGTCGGGAGAGGCTGAGTGTGTGTGTGACTCCGGGCATTTGAGTGTCAACGGTCTGCCATGTCAGAGCATCTGTGAGGTGCAGCACGACTTCTGCCTCAATGACGGAAAATGTGATATCATCCCTGGCAAGGGTGCCATCTGCAGGTGGGAGGAGCTTTTACACTGCTGGGCTTTAATGTATGAGGACATGAGAGTACTAAGATTACCAGTGCTTTGAGGAATACCTACTTCAAAGTACCATTCAGGTTAGGGGTACATGTAATTTCATAGCATATTTTACATTCCT